GATGACGGCCCAAGAAGTGAAGAAAACGGGCATTCCATACCCGTACCCGAGGGAGTGGGATCTAATTCCTTATCCCCCAAAATTTAATTTGATTAACTTTACTCCTTTTGATGGCAGGGGTTCACCCACTCAACACTTGATCTATTTCAAGTCGCATCTTGGCGCAATACCTGAAAACGAAGCCTTGATGGTCCGATCATTCGTAGGAACCCTTCGTGGGCCTGCCTTCGATTGGTACCGACGTCTTAAACCCGGGAGCATCACTAGCTGGGAAGATATGGAAGGATTGTTCCTCACCAATTTCTTCGACGATGACACTGAGGTCTCTATTGGCACCTTGTTGGACGAGAAGCAGAAAGATGGGGAGTAGGTTGATGTCTTCGTCAAACGATTCCGGAACAAAGCGATAAACTGCCGAGATCCACTCACAGAAGAATTCATCCTACAGACATGTCATAATAACTTGTCGTTAGATGTACTAGAAGTAATGGGGGTTGTGCCCTCTAAAACTTGGAAAGAGTTGAAAGTGAGAGGTGAGCAAGCTGAACGCTTTCTCAAGAGAAAGAATTTGGAGAGGGGTCAACCACCAATTAATCCTCAAAAACAAAATTTTAACCCTCGAGGCAGAGGGAGAGGATCCGCAGCTGCTGTTGATGCTCATCAAACATCACAACAGCCGCAACAACAACCGCAACAGTCATCTTTCCAATTAGTACCGAATCAGAATCAACAACCTCCGAGGCAACCTAAGACTTCAGAGCCCAGATTCCCGAAGGAATATTCTTTTAAGGATGATGAAGTTCCGTCCGAGGCAACCTAAGACTTCAGAGCCCAGATTCCCGAAGGAATATTCTTTTAAGGATGATGAAGTTCCGGTCATCTTCAAATATCTGTTAGATAACAATAAGATCAAACTTCCACCAGTCACAAACCAAGAAGAAGCGAAGAAGACTAACAACTCGAAGTATTGTGCATATCACAGAAGGGTCCACCACCCCACTAAGGCGTGTTATGTCTTAAAAGACAAAATACAAACCTTAATCGATATTGGTATCGTGACGCCGAAACCAAAAGAAAAGAAAGTAGGTGCAAATGCAGTGTCTATCAGCTTCGGATCAGTTCCTTTATCTTAGTTTCAAGCCGAACCAATATCCAAGGTTAAAGTGCAAACCATCAACGATGACCCTCATGGATAGCGCCAAAAAGGACTTGTGTTACACACGACCCCCAACGGCAAAATCCTTTGGGTTCATCCGGATTTGCTTGAAGATGAGTAGTGGACAACATCCACGTCGAAGAAGAAGTTAAAAGGCAAGGGAAAAGAGAAGTCCTGTTACAGAGCCTCGGCAATTCCTGAGAAGAATGATGAAGAGATCTCAGCTTTACCACTCTCTGAAGGAGAGTAGGAAGTTTTCGCTACTAGAAGTGGAAACAAATACAGTTTCAACTACCCAAGCGCATCCGAGCAATTAGCCGAGCAGGGGGTAGTGAAAGTGGTACCTACTAAGACTTTGACAGAGCTGGGGGTGATTACAAGTCCACCCGTAGCAACCGAAAAGCCTCAAAGAGTTGATAAGCTAAAGGAGAAGGAACCTCAACACAAAGAGGTTCAAATTCTGAGGCAGTCTCGTTTCAATCGACCGATTGGACGAGACAAACCGGAAAGCTCGAACACTCCATACCGTTTCGACGTCATGGCTCAGCTAGCCAATATCCCAGCAAGAATTACGCTATACGAATTACTGAGCCTTTCAAAGGATACCAGAGAAGCTTTGTAAGAAGCATTAGCTGATTCTGAGGTATTTCTTACCCAGATTAAGCCGATTTCCGAGGAGTCAGGGTCATCGATTCAAAATTACAATCTGGCAGCCACGAAATTTCCTTACATCGCTTTCACCAAAGAAGATATGCAAGTCAAGAATTCGAAACATGATAAGCCTCTATATTTCATCGGATATATTGGCTCGAGCGTTGTCAACCGGATCCAAGTTGATCCGGGTTCCGCTGTTAGCATCATGCCACTTCGGCTGATGTACCACCTCGGAATCCCCGCCAACAAGCTAGCCTCTATAGGAACCGTTATCTACGGGTTTAATACAAGTGGGTCAAGGCCGTTGGAAAAAATCCGAGTGAAGTGTCAACTTGGAGACTTAAAGTCTGAAGTCACGTGCTATGTGATTGATGCAGAGACTTCCTATAACTTACTGTTTGGTCGCCCATGGATTCACAGTAACCTTGTAGTTCCCTCCACCCTCTATCAGTGTCTGAAATATGTCGACACTAACAACGAGGTTAAGACGGTGGTCGCGGATAAGCAACCGTTTAAGGGGTTAGAAAATTATTTTACTAATTCCCTTCTTTATGGTGCTGAATCCGATACCGAACCATCAGCCCATGGTACGGACAACAGAGAAGAAGCTGATACCGAAGCTGGGCTCGATTATAGTGAAGGTCTTGTGCTAAATGACATTGAACCTCTTGTAATCGATCTTGATGGTGGTAATTCGTCGGATGAGAGTTGTAACTGGCAACTTGCCGATGAAATAATAAATGATGATTTAAAGTACTCGCATTGTCTCGATAATGTAATGCATGAATTGTATGACGACCCTAATCTACACATGCTACTTCGTTCGTCTTGTACGACAACGAAACACATCCAAAGTTCATTCGGAACAACTATGATACTACTCGCAAAGACGAGGGGGTGAAAAAGAAATAGTTTTTGGAAAAGGGGAACCATCCCCTACTCCAGATCTTTTCTTGAACATTAATTCGGATGAAGAAGAACCCGGGCGATATTTCTCTCGGTATAGTTCACAAGCAAACGGCTACATGAGGAGGCAAGGCTATGACCTCTCGCTCGGTGAAGGTCTTCATTTTGGTCAATGTGTCAGGGTTCCACCCCGTCCTACCTACGTACCAAAAGGAAAATCGGATAATTATTACAGTCATAAAAGGGGTCTAGGTTATGCTTCATCATCTGATAATGAATATTGTCAATAGATCATTAGCCAACTAATAAATAAGAGTGGGCATTCATCCGATGCTTCAACCTGGGATTCTGATGTGAGCATTGGGGAGAGGTTCAAAACTCTAATGTCAAACATGGCAACAGTTGATCCTTCCACAATAGAAGAAGATGATCAGTTGCCCACTTGGGAAGATCCCTAGATGCATTACATGAATATCCAATACGGCGATCGATTTGAGCAAAGAGAACCTCCTACAGAGGATAAAGTAGTCCAAGTTAATATGGGCGACGAAATTAATCCGAAACCTATATTTATTAGTGGTGACCTTCCACCGGATGAGAAAGAAGAATTAATCGCCCTCATTAGAGAGTATATCGACGTTTTCGCTTGGAATTACGAAGATATGCTGGGACTCGATCCAAATGTAGCAATGCACAGCCTTAACATTAAACTGGATGTTAAACCTATTCAGCAACAACAAAGACGGTTTCGTCCACAAATTATGGAGGCAATATAAATTGAAGTCAAGAAACTGATTGATTCAGGTTTTGTCAGAGAAGAACAACGTCCTGAATGGTTGGCCAATATCGTTCCAGTCCTTAAAAAGAACGGAAAGATCAGAATCTGTATTAACTTTAGAGATCTGAATACAGCTTGTCCTAAAGATGATTTTCCTCTACCAATCACAGATGTCATTATTAACAACACATGCGGGTTCAAGAGAATGTCATTTATGGATGGATTTTCTGGATATAATCAAATCAAGATGCACCCGGACGATGAAAAGCATACATCATTTAGAACACCCATTGGTGTCTTTTGTTATACTATTATGCCTTTCGGTTTGAAGAACGCCGGTGCTACGTACCAACGAGCAATGACGAAAATCTTTCAAGAACACATTCGGAAGACCGTTGAATGCTACGTTGATGACCTGGTCGTTAAGAGCCGTGATAAAAGCGACCACATTAACGATCTGAGGACAATGTTCAATCTTATGAGGACTCATCAGTTAAAGATGAACCCGACTAAATCATTCCTAGGGATGTCCAGTGGTAAATTTCTTGGGTTCGTCGTCACCACAAAAGGTATTCATATTGATCCTGATAAGGTGAAGGCGATACATGAATTACAACCCCCGGGAAATCTTAAAGAACTCAGAGGGTTATAAGGTCGATTGGCATATATCCGTCGGTTTATATCAAATCTATCCGGAAAATGTCAACCGTTCTCTAAACTTACAAAGAAAGGCGTGTCGTTCATTTGGGATGAAGCATGTCAAAAGGCGTTCGAAGATATTAAAGCATATCTAGCGAATCCACCTATTCTCGTTGCACCGAAATCAGGCAGACCGTTTTTTATTTATGCCAAAGCGACGAGCCATTCGTTAAGTGCATTACTCGCACAAGACGACGATAACGGTCACGAACAAGCTGTGTATTATCTGAGTCGTACATTGGTAGGAGCTGAATCTCGTTATCCGATGATTGAGAAAGAATGCCTCGCCCTAGTATTTGCAATCCAGAAAATGCGACATTATTTAGTTGGACAGACAATTTATGTCATTTCCAACATAAACCCAATCCGAGTATTTATGACCCAACCGGCCTCCATGAACTAGCGTTTAGCTAGGTGGGCTTTACTCTTATCGCAATATCACTAGTAGAAAATCACGTATTCTAGACGAAATATTCTAGACGGAATTTTTTCCGTCTAGAATATATTAAACTAGACGAAAATTTTCCGTCTAGAATATTCCGTCTAGAATAAAACATTCTAGACGGAAAATTCCGTCTAGAATAGTATTCTAGACGGTTCCTTTATTTTTTATTTTTTTTAAAATAACCAAATATTCTAGACAGAAATTTCCGTCTAGAATAGTATCCTAGATGGAAATTTCCGTCTAGAATACACTGACCAATTTTTTTAAAAAAAATTCACCAAATAAACCCGCGAATGCCCTCCTTTCCCCCCTAAAACGAATAATTCATCCCCAAATTTATTTTCATTTCAGGAACCCCCCTCCTACTCCTCCCTCTCCCTCTCCCCCATCTCCGGCGGCGTCAGCATCAACCCCTCCGCCATCTCCTTCAGCAACCCCGACATATTAAACAGCGCCTCCTCGTCCACGAACACCGCTGGCGGCGGCCGCGACGACAATGTCGACGGAGAAGGCATCGGTTGCCTCGGCGAAGACACCACTGGCCTGAACCTCTCCGCCGCCTCCGACGCAACACGCCGTATCTCCTCCGCGCTGCTCGACGCCACACGCGGCAGCATCCACGCGGAGTCTTCGAAGTTGAGCGGGGCCGACTTCCCTCTCAAAGCGATTGCCGCCACGTCGTGGGCTCTGGCGGCCATCTCGGGGGTCGGATAGGTGCCCAGCCATATCCTGGTCTTCTTGTTCGGCTCCCGAACTTCGCACACCCATTTCCCGCCATTGCGCTCACTGACGCCTCGGTACACAGGGCTGCGGGTTTCTAGCTGTGGCTGTAAGTTTTACTTGACTACGCTGTCAAATGTTGAATGTTGAATTCTAGCCATGCTGGAGTTATGTGTTAAATTGAGAAATGCTGACGACTGATTTGTTAAAATGCTGTGTGAGTTTATCTATAATGAAATCTGATCTTTACTTTTTTTTGGATTTATGTTTGTCGAAGTGGCCTCTACAAAGAGTGGACGAGGCATTTTGGGATGGAGGTTTGATCTAATGCATTCTTCCTGGCAAATATGGAAGGAAAAGAACAAGTTTCATTCAGATCGTGAGATATTCATCGCACCTCGCAAGAAAAAGTATGCATGTAGCTAGCACAGCATAAACCATAAAAATGATCTATAGATATATGCAATTGGGTTTGAAGGAGAGGGCGAAAACATCATGAGAAGATTGTGGTTAGTTGGAAGTTTCTCTTCTCACTTGATAGAAGTCTTCCGCGGGCTCAATTTTTTGTTATGCGCAATAGGGTTTAGTAATGATGTTGAACAGGAGAGAAGAAGTTAGGAGCGATAGTAAGTCATCGATCTATACGAAAGTGTGTTGTATTGCTTTTTGCTTAAGTTTTATTTGAGTCCTAATTTAGTGGAATGGCATTACTCTAAACAGAGTGTAATCAATGACGCTGCTTCTGGTTGGGTGTGTTGAGTGTATTCGATATGAATAAGTAAGTCTATCTTTGTTTTCAGTGCATCATTACTTGGGATTCAGTTCATATTACTTGGGCGGGCAGTTTTTGCTGTAATTTACAGCATTGTTTTTGTTATTTTGATTTAATCCAGTGGATGTAAGCACTCCACGCTAGAGTATTGACGCTATGAAAATGCAAGTTGAAGGCTGAAAGAAAAAAACGTTAGGCTGCAGATTACTTGAAGCTAGAAGGTGATTACTTGTGAAAAATATATGAGCGTTATCATTGACAATGTGTCATGTCTTTAACTTATAGACATTTCTTCTGAATGCTACTACAACATTATGGCATTGCAATATTGTCTCGTTTCAATGTCCCCACTATCATGTAGGCTACAAATTTGATTTTCTCATGGAGGCTAGCTGAAAATTATAACATTTTCATCTACTTCACTTTATTGGCCTTTTGTAATCAAATGTAAACTTATTGATTTCTTTTATATAAACAGGAGAAAAGGAATCACACAAAAAAAGAGCTGAAGGGAATAAACAATCCGCAATACTGACAGCAGAGGGTAAGTGGCACCTTCTTTTACTTGTATGTACTAATACTCAAATGCTAATATTGATAATCATGCTGGAATCAATCTATATAATATCTTACATATGTAATATGGAATTTGGTTGTCTAGTCTCATATGGATTTTTCGTGTCTTTCAATTATGCAATCTATGTATGTTTGTAAACTCTAAGCGTGTTTTGTATTTTTATATTATAGCAAACAAGCTCTCTTTTGGATTTTTATATTATAATCATCAAATTGTATTTTTAAGTATATGATATTCCAAAAATGCGTAATAAAAGCTTTCTCCTGGATTAAAAAGTCGAGTATCATGCTATTATAGTACTGGTTTTGTAAACTGTGATTTCCTACCTGTTTTCCCCCCCTTCATTCCAATTCTAAGATATCCAGTAATACGAGACTTTGATGTTAATGGTTATCCAACTGATTCTGAATGCATACTATGAAAATCACAATTTATATTAGATCTATGATATTCACATGCAAAATAATAATTTTCTCGGATCAGAAGATCAAATATCAATATGCTTTAGTCAGATCATGATTTTATGAACTGTGATTTTACTCATCAAACAGATACTCTGCATATTACATTTCAAATATACAAACATATCTGGATATTTGATGTTGATATGAAAAGGGACTCTTTAAGTGTTTTCCTTATCATATCTTCTTTATGCTTTTTAGGAAAGCGATGATAATGGTTTCAAGAGGGACTCTTTTAGAAAAGTGTAGCTGAAAAAAATGTGGTTCAACCTCGCTTATGATAAATATTTACTGCTACTTCTGTGTAGATTTATGGAGCTTTCTACTTCATTGTCATTTCTGAAGGAAGAGGCCTCCTTCCTGCTTACTTTTTTTAAACATCAGACATAATGTGCTTATTAGAGTTTTTTTATATAAACAGGAGAAAAGGAATCCCAGATACTGGCAGTGTATTTTGGATCTCAATGCATTAGTGTGCATTCATGTGTTTTGATGGTGTTCTACTTTTTATTGATTGGTTCTTTTACATGGGGATATTATAAAATTGTCCATGAAAATATGTATCCTTTTGGAAATATGATATAATCTTTCACTAAATTATGGCTTCAGTTTGTATTATCTTTTATGTGCATCATGATAATTCAAAACATGCTTGGGTTGGGTTTCTGCGATGCTACTAAAATGAAGTCACTAGTAGAAATACACATATGAAAATATGATTTAGATAATAGCTTGTACTAAGAAATATGATACTCTACTTCGATAACTCCTTGCCTTATGCATAACCGTTCTTCATTTTGCAGCATTCCTGGCTATTATGAGGCATTCTGGAAGGAGTTGGATGGTGTCAAGCAAATCTGGAAGAACAGAAAGGAACTCAAATAGATTAATAATCATGTATCGATGAATTACATTCTTTCCTAGAAGTGTCATAGCCATTGTAAATAATTTATGTAAACGTTTGTAAATAATTTGTGTATCTCTCTACTATTTTGGTGAATGTATTATTTGAATATAACTGGATTTGATATTGGAATTAATTAGATTGTGTTGGATATGAATATAATTTTTTGTTGTTCAATATTGTGTACATACACTCAAAGTAGATTCTGCAAAAAAAAAAACTACTGTAGCATAGTATCCTAGACGGAAATTCCGTCTAGGATGCTTAAATTCCGTCTAGAATACTTTTTAAAAACTAAAAAATTAAAAAATCAAATTCCGTCTAGAATAAGATTTCTAGACGGAAATTTCCGTCTAGAATACTTATTCTAGACGGAAGTCTAGGATACACATCCTAGACGGAATTCTGCTAGGATGTATTCTAGACGGTTTTTAATTCCGTCTAGAATATTCCGTCTAGGATGTATTCTAGACGGAATTTCCGTCTAGAATACTACATACTAGACGGAAATAAACTAGACGCGTATTCTAGACGGAATTCCGTCTAGAATACACATCCTAGACGGAATTCTGGGTATCCTAGACGGAATTTTCCGTCTAGGATGCCTTAAATTTTAGCAGTGTATGATTTATACTTCAAGCAACAAAAATCAGTTAATGGATGAGCTATTTGTGATCTTCTAGCGGAAAACCCTACAAAAGATGTAGTCGAATTGTACGACGATCTGCCAGATGAAACTCACGAAGTTAATACCACCTCACATCAACAAGTATGGCAATTATACTTCGATGGGGCTTCCTGAGCAACCAACTATAGACGGTAAAAAAATACCTCTGATAAGCCTACAGGAAATTCGCCCTCAAGAAGTCGCCTACCTAAGCCGCATAGTCGTCAAACGTGCTCGGTTCCAGGTTCGCCTGAATAATCGACTCGCCTGCACGAGTTGAGATCAGTTGGAACAGCGAAAATTCGCCTTTCACGCGACTCGCCTGCCCGAGTCCAAAGTCGAATCCGCCTGCAATATCCTCTCAGGGCCCGTGCAGTAGCAGCTGGGTATCCGCCTACCGCCCAACGTACGGAGATAGCCTTTCCCGACACCTCTTCGACCTGAAGGGAGAGGGCACAGTACTCGCTAAGACCGGCCCAAGGCGGGCCGCTCACAGTACTATGCAGTGCGAAGGACCTGGACGGGTGTCGAGTCAAAACTGAACAGGTCATCAAATGCGACTCACATCGGCTATACTAAGTGCGGGTAGACGAATCCGCCGGCTGTCCGGTGAACTGTCCAAACCCACTCGAGTACCAGGAACACGCTTTCCCGCCTCTCCTGACCTGAAGAGAGAAGGCACGGCACTCCAGGCCCGCCGAACAAGCCACCTACAGTACGAGTGAGCAGGCAGGTGTCAAAACAGCCTGCACCCTCATAAATGCGGCTCACCTCAGTTGTCCAAGAGAGGTGACGAAAGCCGCCGGCGCTCGGTGGTTAGTCAGAGCCACGCAAGCATCTGACAGCCATTGTCACGCATACGAGGAGGGGCTTTCCCACTCCTACGTAGCATGATGCAGAACGCAGTTCTTCGAATGACCACTGACGGTACGAATGAACAGCAAGACATCTCTGGACAATGTGTGGTCACATCCCATAATTCAAGGAGTAGTCAAGCTGTCCTTCTTCCATTTAAAAGCCCCTTCCAGCACACTGGAGGAGAGGTCGCAAAAACTTGAAGAAAAGTAATTGAGACCAAGCTGTTAGCAGATCCTTGCATTACAGCACCACTGCTTAGTTCTGAGCTCCAATCACCGGCGAACTAAGCAGACCCGAACTCCATCGATTCGAGCTTCTACTGCGAACTGAAGCTCTCCAGCAACCACGATCGAACGGTCCAAGGGAAGCAGACTCGACCCGAGCGTCGAGCGAAGCGTCCTATAGCCTCCTAAAGTCCCCACACAAAACAAAGAGGGCATTCCCTCTGCTTCTGTTGTAACCATTTGATTATTAGTTTGTAATAAGCTTTCTTATTAATACAAACGAACACTCCCTGTTTTCGGGAAATCAAATTTACACAATACACCAACGTGGCAAACGCACCCGGGTGTTCTAAAATCTCCTCAGGAGTAGGGGTCGTTTTAGTTTCTCCGGAAAAGCATGTCTTACTTAGAGCATACTCATTGACCGAACCATGCTCTAATAATGTGGCCGAGTACAATGCATTGATAATTGGACTTAATTTTGCCAAAGAGCTGGGGTTCGAATACCTTGAAGC